ATAGAGCTGAAGAAAATGTGGCTAGTTTAGGTATATTACTGATAAAACTGCAAAACAAGTTATTTTCTTTGTGTGTATATCATCAGTGATACTAGCAGAACTGCCAAGAGCAAATTAAACAGTCATGATAAGTAAACAGGGGTGTTAAGGCATTTTTTGTTTTCTATAAATTCTGGGAGCTAAAATATACAAGCTGCTGAAAAACCCTACCCTTGTCCAGTACAAACATTGAAACCCATAGCTAGCTAAAGTTGGGAAGTGAGAAGCCTAACATGAAAAAATGTAGACAAAAAACCTAGTGAAAGAGATAACGTTTACTATAAACTCAGCAGTAAAATTCAGGCTTCTTTGAGGTCACTTGGAAGAGGCCATAAGGCTCCATTGGTGCCAAAGAGTGGAAGTAGCAGTGGAACTGTGCTGGTCATAGAGTTAAGCAGTGCTGGTTTTGGCAGAATTAGCACCTGAAATCTTCAACAGCAAGGGCATATTTTCCCCTTTCACATTGGCTCCTTATGACTCAGTAAGCAAGTTTAAAGAAAGCAAGAGTAATATATTTGTAGCAGATTCTCTTTGTCCTCATAATAGTTCTGGCATAGTTTCAGTATTGGATGCAAAACACTGTCCTTGCTTAAATGCAAAAATACTCTAAGTTATGACCTGATGTTAAATTTTGAATTATGCTCCATCTTTTATCTGGCTTTCTAGATTAAGCAAGATTATGACATGAAAGCAGACATTGTAAGAATTCAGTAGAATTTCTAACTCGGTTAAAAAAATAGATAGTTAGATCAGTTGCAATTGGCTTTTTTCCTATTGCTTTCTAAATTGTTCTTAAATCAAATATAGAACCTGGAAATCAGATTCTCCCCAAAATAAAAAATGTCATCATTTTATGGAAGTGTATGAATGCTTTATAACACCTGAGCCACATGCATAGAGCAAAATGCATCCCCAGTGCTGATTAACCCTGCAGTTTGCCCGAATACTCCACTATTGACATTTTTGAAGTGTGTTAGTATAATGCAGAGAAGCATAGAGGCTAGAACACAGAGCAAAGGCTCTACTTCCTTCTGTGAAGAAGAACGTATGTATCAGTCTGATTTCTTTGCCCTGGTATGCTCTTTTCACTACTAGCATATTGCTATTATAGTTATTAATTCATAGATTTTCACTATTTGTGTTGTTTGATCACTATTTGTGTTGTTTGGATTAATCCTGAACTATTAGACTCTGCTTTGCAGCTTTTTACTGACTGCATCTGCACTCTTTTGTTCAGCTTCAGACTGCTGAGAATGAGAAGGTGAGGTGGGAATTGGAGAAGACCCAACTCCAGCAGAACATTGAGGAGAATAAGGAAAGGATGATGAAATTAGAGAGTTATTGGATTGAGGCACAAACCCTGTGTCACACAGTGAATGAGCACCTCAAGGAGACGCAAAGCCAGTATCAGGCTCTGGAGAAGAAATATAACAAGGCAAAGAAATTGATCAAGGATTTTCAGCAAAAGTAAGCAGCTACACCAGGCTCAGCAAATGACTTAGTGGCCAGATAGGAAACATGTATGTGATGTATTTTGAAATACGAAACCCACTATTAAACACCTGTAAGGTAAACACTATTTTTTCAATTTTATTTTTTTTTCCATGAAAAACATGGGCTCTTTATTACGGCAAAATATTAGTAGTGTTCAAGTATTAGTTTAGTATTGCTGAGAAATAATACTGTAACTAACTACAGACTTAGTCTGTAGTATTCTGGCTTGGAAAGTTTGTAGGTAACTCGATGTGATAGCAAACAACCAAGAGTAATCATAATAAAGCATTTCGTTAGCAAGGTTGCAGCAATTTATATCGGTATTGTGTCAGCTGGATTCACTCCTGCTGTGTTCTCATGTAACATCAAAAAGAAAATTGTTTTGTTACATTTTACATTTTATTTTTCTTCTTCCTGTAGATGCAAAGAATATTTGAGCTGAGTTGAGCTAACTGATGATTACCTGGTCCCCTCTGTTTCATATGGTCCCCTCTCCCTGATGGCTATCAAGAACAATAACATCTTACATTTCTATAACAGCTTCCATTCCCCCCAGTTTCTTTCTTTCTTTTGCAGCAACATTTCCATTTTCTGCTGAAATATGCTCATTTAAAGAAGAAAACTCAAAACCATACAGCACTGTCAAGTGACAACTGGAAGTGCAGAATAGAATATCCTGTCCTATTAAAAAGGGGTTTAAATAGTCAAAGTGTCATTAAATAGCTTGGAATTTTGTGACTGTTCCAGAACTAGCTGGCATATTGTGTGCTTTCTATCACAAACATCTTAGATTTTCAAAATAAAAAGAAATATGGAAAACTGCTATAATGAGCGTGGATAGCCTTTCTGTTGTTATTCTGCTTTATATTAGTAAAAGATCTAGTCAATTGTTTTTAACTATCTCAGACTCCTAAAATCCCCTACAGATCTCCTTATAGCTTACTAGAAAACTAGATTTGTACTTGGAAACTTACGGATGTCCTTTTTGTGAAGGAGTGCAGTCATGCCCTAACAAAACAGAGATTTTGCTCCATTTCCTTTAACAGAACACAGCATAAACTAAGCTAACATAGTTTTCATTTGTAAATACAGATTATCTAAAAAAAATTTTTAACTATTTTGATTATCAATTAGAACATCTGAGATGTTTTTTTCCCCCCAGAAAAATTCCTCTTACCATTTTAGTATCTTCACCTAGCATATTCACTTTGACTAAGTAATTGTTCAGTTTTTTCCTAATAGCAGTTTCATACTCATTACTAGGTTAGTATTAAATTAATTGTTAAGGACAGATTTTTCTGATGCATAGCTTAAGATACATCAGAACATTTTATTTTCTGTTTGAATCTGATTGCTTTGGTGACAGCAAATATATCTTTTTTCCCCTAAGAGAACTTGACTTCATCAAACGCCAGGAAGCTGAACGCAAGAAAATAGAAGATTTGGAGAAAGCACATCTTGCAGAGGTTCAAGGCTTACAAGCTCGTGTGAGTAGTATTTACTCTCATATTTGAAGAATGAGACAATTATGTCTGATATTCTGGGTTAAAAAAAAACCCATCTCTAATAGACATGTGTGTGTGTTACGGGTAACACTGTTTTGTATTTCTTTCAGATACGAGACTTGGAATCGGAAGTTTTCAGGCTAATGAAGCAAAATGGGAGCCAGGTTAACAATAACAACAACATTTTTGAAAGGCAGACATCTTTTGGAGAAGTTTCTAGAGGAGATCCAGTGGAAAATCTAGATACTAAGCAAGTGTGCCTGGATGGCTTAAGTCAAGGTTTGTTTGAACCAAACCATCACTCTTATTAATACTTATGTAAATAGCGGTTACCATTTAGGGTATAAAGGAAACAATAATGGAGGAATTTTTTCCCAAAATTCATTATCTAGTGACAGCTGTATCAGGATTATAGCAAATAATGCCACTATAGAGTGCCAGAATAGCTGTACAATGTATATTCTTACAGAGATGGAAATGACTAAGTGCTAATGATGCAAAGAGCATTATTTATTACTTAAGGCTTCTGGTGGGATGCCATCAACATTTAGGTTTATTTCGACACTTCTGTTATGTTAATAAGGTAAGAGAAAACTGTCTTTTCTCCTGTGTTCCTAAATCTGTCCTTAATTACTCAACCACCAAAGATCACATAAGAACGAAGTTACCAGAATGAGAAAAACAATGTTAAATCCATCATTTTGAGCAGATCTCTGCAGGTTCTGATCCCACCTTGGTACAAACATCAAAAAGAATCATGTGGGTGGCTCTCACCATTTCTTACGACAGCATTTTGTGAATAAAATGCAAATTATTTGCTAGCACATAAGCTAGCAAATAATCTGAATAAAATTTAAAAATCTTATTCAGCTATAGCACAGCGTGATTTACATATTAAGACTTGTAAGACTTCATTCTACATTACGAAAGAACCAAACCTATTTGTTGCAGCAGTGAGATTTGAAGAGATGCTGTCAGCAGGGTGACTGTAATCTTTGCTTGTACTGCATAGGAAAGATCGTTCCCATTTTTCAGGCTGTGCCAGTGAAAATACACTGTAAACTCCTACTGCTTCAGTTGAAGTTCTCCAATTGTGAATAGCTCCTCACTTTTGAAGAATTTGCAGAATTAAAGCCAATTTTAGGTCCACAGCCATAGAATAAAAATTGTTTGGCACAGGAGCAATACTTGCTGTCTGTTTAGTAACATCTGTGGAATCAGGTGTCAGAGGTGTTGGGATTCTGACAGGGAACCACCAGACTCTGTTCCTATATAGGTTTAATTTTAAATAAACAATTATATTACTTATTTCTCTGGTTTAAAAAAAAAAAAAAAAGGCATTACATTAGCAACTAAATTAATTTCTAGCAAGAAAAGAGGTGTTTTAATAAAATAAATGTTTTAGCAGTTATTTCATGTGTAGACCTAAACAATATCACTCAAATCAATATGAATTACATTTTCAATAAAGTATGTGTAAAAAAGAGCTAGTATTGCTGAAACAGTATTTAGGTGATATGCAGACCTTGAGGAATTGGTTTTCAAGAGCTCTTTCTTTCTAGCAAGTCTTTATTATACTGAAACCTCTGAAGTTCATAAAAGCACTCAGGATGACAAGACAGTCTTTATTTCTGCATAGAGAGACTCAGTGTTACAAAATATTTAATACTTAGCAATGCTATTAACAAAACCCCTTTCATTAATTTGTATCAGGAGGGGAAAGTGTGTTTTCTTTACCTGACTTACAAAAAACCATGTTTACACTTACTGTTGTAAGAATGTCAGCACACATGTATGGCTCAAGAGCTGAAATCATAGAATCATGGAATAGTTAGGGTTGGAAAGGACCTTAAGATCATCTAGTTCCAACCCCCCTGCCATGGGCAGGGACATCTCACACTAAACTATGTCGCCCAAGGCTCTGTCCAACCTGGCCTTGAACACCGCCGGGGATGGAGCATTCACAACTTCTTGGGCAAGCTATTCCAGTGCCTCACCACCCTCACTGTAAAGATCTTCTTCCTTATATCTAATCTAAACTCCCATCTAATCAAACCTCCCCCTGTTCAGGGCTGAAGCCATTACCCCTTGTTCTACCGCTACAGTCCCTAAGGAAGAGTCCCTCCCCTGCATCCTTATAGGCCCCCTTCAGATACTGGAAGGCTGCTATGAGGTCTCCATGCAGCCTCTCTTCTCCGGGCTGAACAGCCCCAACTTTCTCAGCCTGTCTTCATACGGGAGGTGCTCCAGCCCTCTTATCATCCTCGGGGCCCTCCTCTGTACTTGCTTCAGCAGCTCCATGTCCTTTTTATGCTGAGGACACCAGAATTGTACACTGTACCAAGTGAGGTCTCACGAGGGCAGAGTAGAG